TCTGTATTATTTATCCATGTTGTGTTATAACAATTGCTAAAACGTTTCTGTTCTTTTCCAGCACTCGCAGAACGGCACGACAATCACACTGAAAGATGTTCGATTTGAAGCTACCGGTAGTTATACGTGTGTAGTCACTATGACAACACCGATTTACTCTGCGATTTCGGATCCCGTACAGATAAAAGTGATATGTGAGTAAAGGTGGTTGCATCATCAAATCAGAAATTAATGTTCTCTCGCTAGTGATTTTTACAAGTTTTTTTTTTTTAATCTACTCCTCGTTTAATTGAACGTAATTGAGAGAAGCTCTGTGCGAAACACAGAGATTTATTGATGATAGCTGACTTTTGAAAAAATGGTCAACAGATATTTTTACGATGATCAATGGTGATGCATGCTTTTTATAAATTTCTCTTCTAGTTCCACAGAAAACCAAACCCAAAATTACGTTTAAAAAGAACATGTACGTGGTCGGCGAGAGCTTGGAGGCAAATTGCACCTCTTCTGTTGCGCATCCAGTTCCTTACATAACGTGGTTTATAAACGGAAAAGAGGTAAAGAACAATAGACATTCGCGATAAAGAAACATGTGAAATGTAAATAAATATTTTTATTGTCTAAAAAAAAAAAAGAGAAACAGACTTTTCTATAAAAAAAATTTATTTGGTCCGTTATTTTTATTTCAAGAGATTTATAAAATTCGAACAGACATTTTTTATACATATACATATAGAATGTTATATTCTTTCGCTTATACGCTGAAACATTTGAAATTTAATAAATGTTTCATTGTGCGTATTTTATCACAAAATTCGCTAGCGTGTATTTGTTCTTTTTTTTTTTTTTTTTTTTTTTTTTTTTGCATTCTTGGTATTATTTATTGTAATTTTCTCATCGGTGCTTTTTGCAAGCTGGATATTTCTTTGGTGAATCACTTCCCGCATACGAAGCACGGAAACGATCTCTTCTCGGCCACCGCTCGACTGAAGGTGGAGGTTTCCGAGTTG